CCCCAAAACCCCAAAACCCCAAAACCCCAAAACCCCAAAACCCCAAAACCCCAAAACCCCTTTTCATGTTGGTAAAATTGAAACCCTGGCTATAAAGAGAAATTTTGGTGATTACTCAAGAGGATCATAACCATAAAATTCATCTATAATAGCTTTTGCTTTGTTGGAAACATCTCTATTTTCATAGACTAGAAGTCCCTCGACTTTATCAAGCCCAGCTATTTCTTGGAGATGGATAGCATTCTCATTATCTTCAATGTTTTCTTGCTTTGTAAAACTCAGAATTTTGTGCAGTAATCCTAAAGTTTCTTCTAGAATTTTAGGATCTTGGCTATGTGCATCAAGAACTTCTGCAGCATGTTCTATCATACCTGAGTCTCATCTGTCATGTATACAAGTTCCAATTGTTGAAAGAGCTACAAGTGCAAGAGAGTTATCTTCCTTACAAGTGTCTGTCAGGATGAACTCGTAAAGTTTCTTGCTCTGCACAACTTTGTAAATGTCCTCTCCTTTATCAACACAGATATTGCCAATGATGAGGATGATTAATTTCTTTATAGTTGCTGATTGCCTAGGGTATAGTTTAGTAAATATCTTCATAAGTCCATTATCATGAGCATAGAGGATCATCTTGCTTCAGTCGAGTGAGGATATCACTCCTAGAAGTCTTATACATGCATGAGTAAGTTCTTGACTCCTTAATTTTAGAGAGAGCAGTCCAAGGACTGAGTCTATGACACCCTTTTTAGTTCAGAGGTACTGATGACGCTCATAAATTCTCATTAAAGCTATTAGATAGTTTATGAGGTAGTCTGAAAATTAATTCTGAAGCTTACCTTCTGCCCAGTCTCCATCTTCGAGAGACAAGGAGATAAGTGATTCAAAAGTTTCGATATCTGTCTGCTTGATTTCAGTACTATTGGAAATCATTGCGTCAAATAGAGTTACTGCTCAGCCTTTAAAGCCAGAATCTTTGAAGAAGATCTCTTCTGCAAGGAGAGTTTCTAAGATCCCAATTATATTATTTTCTAGTAAAAATCCTGAAATCACTGGGAAATCAAGGCAAATGTTTGAAAGGAGAATCAATGCCTTCTTGTATTTTTCACTTAAAAAGTATTCTGAATTTTCAGGTAGAGTTAGAGATTTCAAAATAGTTATAATGAGCTCTTCTTCAATGAATCAATCCATGGAGCCTACCTCAATATGGTAAGTGAGGTTTATTATGAGTTTCAAAATAGTTAGTGTTCTCTTTGTTCATGCTTTAGATAATAACTCATTGAGTCTTTCAAGAAAGCTCCTGCCTGTCAATATGCTTATGTATTCCTCATCCCATCTATCTCTAATTATCACTGGGAGGTACTCTAATAACTGAGAAACCTCTTGGTCAGAGTCTGAATTAGTGATTTTATCAACAAGGACTTTGACCTTTTCTACAGAGTTGAGTTTCAAAATTTCCGCGTCTGAGATGAACAGGTGCTCATCTTCCATTTTGATATCATCCTTTATAATAATCTTTCTGTTCTTCTTAAACAGATCAGACCTCTTCTTCTTTCTAAGGTTTACTTGAAAGTTCTGAATTTTCTTCCTAGGGTCTTCTATTTGAAGGCTAAACATTTTTCTTTGCCTTTCGCGGCCTCTTGAATCATCCATTTTTAATAAATTCTGACTTACAATCTGCAAAAATTGATTTGGGGTTTTGGGGTTTTGGGGTTTTGGGGTTTTGGGG